TGCTTACTGCCTGATGGTAGAATCAAACATAGAGATGGTTTAAAACAGATGTGAAGGGACATAAAGATATAGGTTCTGATGAGAGCCCAGATGAATGGTCTCTAAAATAGAGGAGTTAAATACTGAAAATCTAAAGCAAATTAGACTATACAAAAGGAGGGAGGAACTAACCCAGGCCGAAGACAGACGGACAAGAGAAACAGAGGGAGAAATGGGTTAATGTGTGTAAACCACGTGGTTTATGCTTTGGAAGATAAATGAGACTACTGAGTCCAGAGAAACTGCCCCCCTCCATGAACAGAAAGCAAAACACAACTCTTTTTTTTCCTGCTCAGAATCTTTTAAAAATGCACTTCCAACAGATACTTTGATCTGTATTTATCTGACTTTATCTAAACAAGTTAACATCAGTTTTGTTTAAATGTGCAATTTTTAGCACAGTATCTTTAGCCATATTAAGTACTCAGTATGCACTTTTTTTTTTTGGTTTTTTTATTATTATTATTATTATTATTATTATTATTATTTATTATTATTTTACAACACCATTCAGTTCAACATAATAGCCACAGAATCCCCTGTTCTCCCCCTCTCGCCCACCCCCCCCCCCAGCCCACCCCCCATTCCCACCTCCTCCAGATCAAGGTCTCCCCCGAGGACCGGGGTTGACCTGGTAGACTCAGTCCAGGCAGGTCCATTCCCCCCTCCCAGACCGAGCCAAGTGTCCCTGCATAAGTCCCAGGATTCAAACAGCCAACTCATGCAACGAGCCCAGGACCTGGCACCAATGCACAGCTGCCTCCCAAACAGGGGGCCGGTCTCTCAGTATGCACTTTTTGAATGAATATGGGAACCATGAAAAGACAGTCAGAGGTGGCAAGCAGACATATGGATACTTCAAATATATGTGAATGGAAAAACATACTGTCGTGTATTGTCTGAAGAACACATGTCTGCATAGCTAAGAGAATATTCCAGGTGACTATCAACCTGGCATGGGCTGGGTCAGTAAGGGTGTACATGAAGCATCCTAGCCCCATTGGACAGTGTCTGGATTCAAGTGTAATTCTGGACAATTCTAGTAATTTTATTCAGTAAGGTCAAGGTCTACACTGGTTTCTCATGGAGGGAGGGGGCTGAATAAAAACTTCTGAGTCACCTCAGCTGAATTCAAGTGCAAATAATAATACTTTAAATAATCTTCAATTCTAAAGATGCATTAAAACTATTGCATGACAATTTTCATTACTGAAAGACTTACTTAAGACACAGTCTAGATTGCCTAGATTTTAATCAGTGGCTACTAAATAGTTTAGAAGAAGATACTAGTCAATTTTATGAAAATATATCAAACATAAGTTTCAGATTGAAATATAGTGGTTAAAAATTAAATTATGTATAGAATTTTATGATAACTGTATGTAGTAGTCCATCATGCCTGCCTTTCTGTATAACATCCAATATTTGTTTTCTTCTTCCCACCTGTGCCTGAGGCCACCTTGCTTTCCTCTCCGTGACATGAACACCCATTCTATACCTTCCCTAACTTAGACCTCCCCTTAGTCTAGCGAGAGTCAGGAGACAGCCATCTGCAAAATCACATTGAGTTATCTCTATCATTATTGTCTTACTTTTCACTTTTGTTATTGCTTATATTACCTTGTGGATGAGGAGGAGGGAAAGCAGAGTCCTTTCTTAGCTTGAGAAACATACTCATATATACTCACATCTATGGTAGGTCACATACTCACCCTCAAAGAGAACAATAGTTAGGCTAGTTTCCCTCTGATTTTCTTAAAAAGCCCTAGCCAGGATGTACCATGTAGAAAAGCAACTTGTTCAAATACAATTGTTTATGTTTTAATCTCTCTACCATTTAAAAAAGTAAAGATGAATCCCAGGGTCATGAGCAATCACAGGAAAAATTAGTCAAGTTGGTTCTTCCTGAATTAACTGCTGCCTTGATTAGAAGATCAAGCTATTTTAATGCTCAATTTCTAATTCTCATGTTTAGCAAGAAAAGTTATATAATACATATTATAGAGAAGGAAACTGGTTGCAGCCAGACAAGACTTTCAGGTTTTAATGATGAATGGGAATGGAATATGATGACCAATACAATGCTATTTATTTTTAGCATATTGCTAAAGAGAGTGTTATAAAAAATATACATGGCAGGCAAATCTATGAGCCTTTGTGAAAAATATTTTTTTATTTTACATAAATTGGAGAAAAGCAACTTTTGCTTATATAGAAAAGTAAAAGTTAGAAATCATTCAATACAAATCCTCTGTGGATTTTTATTATGCATGTGATTCCATAATGTGTATGCTTTTTTGTGAGACCCTTTTCCTTCGGGGTATATTAGATTTTGGACAATTTAAAACTCTGTAAACACATGCAGTGCTTTGTTGAATAGTTTCTCCCTTTTTGTAGCTTCACATTTAAACTATATTCGTTGGTAGGTTGAACAATGGATTTAATAATATTTCAATGAATACATAAGGAAATTGAAGAAAGTGCCAGCTATTATCTATTAATGAACTTTTGCTCATCATACTTTTCTCTTTCCCTTTTAAAGGCTAAGGACTATTTTGTTTTAGATTATGCTAGCAATTTGCCTTAAGTCTGTCATCCCCATGCATTGTATTTGTGTCCAGTGTATGGTTTGATGTGTGTGTGTGTGTGTGTGTGTGTGTGTGTGTGTGTGTGTGTGTGAATTTAGGCCAAAAACTCTAAAGTCAGTCTTAGGAATTTAGTGTTGAAGGTTGATTAGTTCTTAGATTATATATATA